GTTGCTAGCGTTTCTAAATCGCCAATCCCTTCTTCTGGACTGTCTTCGTCGAACCATTGTGACCATTAACCATCACATGGGGGATTAGCTGTTTGAACAAACATTACATATATAATACTGCATATTACACAATCAACGTTATCGGACATACCACAACGAGGAATCAATGTTTTTAACCACGGGACAACATCTCAACAATATTTTTTTAATATGAGATGAATATTTGTTACATACATATGTGTCACCTCTGCAGAACCATCCACAGGTTGACTTAATCTACGACTATCACTGTATCCTATAATGTTGTACTTCTAATGTACACATTTGTGCGGAACTACACTACACACTGTCAATATTCCTGAGATGTTATTGATATTCAGTTAGTGTGTGTGTTATATTACCTGGGCAGCAGAATCTAACTTCATAATCAAGACATGTGTTATCTGGTTGATCTGCCATCTGACAAACAAATCTCACTTCAGGTGAATAGAGCGAGAATATTTCACCATTATAAGCAGCAGGAATGCCATCTAAGGTCTGCACTTGTATCGCCGATGGGTTGGAACACATTTTATCTTCGAATTGCTTTATTAGATCCTGAGTTGTTTCCCAGTCCCCAGTAGTTCCTGGGTTATCTCTATCGAACCAAATAGTCCATTCACCGTCTTCACATTCTACAAGTAAAATTAAAAATTGTTTTGTTTGTAATTACAGACGTTTGACTAAACGTGAGTAAAATCATGTACGATCATTGCTTAACACCAACATCATGATGAGACTTGGATAAAGTTGGATTCACCTGTATTTGGGCAACATACAACAAAAGCATCGTCAGGGTGGATCACACAATGGTAACCAAATGGACACTCAACTCCACCGCGACCACAGAACCATTCAGACCCCTCATCACCAATTAATGAAAATCTCGCGGAACACGGTGACACAACTATCACTGCATGAAAATTCGAATTTCCGTCGTAGCCGCTTGCCGGATTAGCAACGTGTTTTGCAGTAAATCCGTTGTTTATATTTGGGTGCGTAAACGTTCGAATTTCCCTCGCATAACCGTCGAAACTGAAACGACGTAAATTTAGAAATTGCGCGTTTGATACGCCCAATGTAAACAGCGGAAATTCCCAAATTTGCTGTCGTTTTACGCTGAACTTAAAGAACTGATATACTACGTTGCCCGTTGTATATTTTCAACGTAAATTGACGGGCAACTCTGAGTTTGTCGTTGTTTTACGTTCAACTTATTAAGCGGAAATCACGCAGCTTGAACTGCTGCACTACTGGCTTGCCATGCTAGAAATCATTCACTTTTCATATAAACCTGCTTAGATGGCCAGGTCTAAAGACTATAGAAATATATTTCTAACTAATCCGTTTATAATTTACTAATTTATCGTCAACTATATATTTTTTGTTTTATAATGGTATTGTTTGAACTAATACTCAATGATTCGATTGTGGCGAAGTGCTTAACTAGCGACT